GCGACTAATTTTTCTATTTTACTTTAGTCACTTAACCACACCTTTGACCATTTGGAGGAGTCTTACTCACAACCTCCATAAGTCTTATTTAGGACTTAGGGACGTGCTAGCCCCGTGAATGGCATCTATGCCATTTATCCTTTACATTTGGTCCAAGTGCTCCACGTGTTTGATCCCATGACTAACACTTAAAGGTACCACTGATATATCAGTCTATTATGCTAATGCCATGCTCATTTGCCCTTGTCACATTAGTAATGTAAGACCACTTGCATCATAGTCTCGTTTCTTAAAGACTGGGCCATCTACCCATGAATGGTCATCCCTTGACCACACCTTAGCACAACTAAAATGCTAGGAGACATAAGGAACACCCTTCCCTAATGTCCTTTCTTCTGTCCCCAAGTCCCTCTTCATCCACAGCCATGTTGGCTGACACTATCATCTGGTTAATGTCCAAAGGCTTGACCACTAAGTTTCACTATCCTTTAGGACTTCCTCACCATATGACTATATCATTGGTCACTACACTAAAGTACTACTCCTCTTCCTTTTCAAAATCTAAGACTTTGGGACGATATTTCAAAACACCGTTGCCTTATGTGAGCTTCATGGGTACTCTCCCCACCTTCTGCCTTTAGGTGCCCTAGCCATGTGGCTAGAGCAAAGTTCTAATGAGCCATGCCAAGTATCCAAGTAGGTAGTGCCACCCATATTTAGATTGGGAGCATCGACCATTCAATCTCCTAGAGGAGCTAAAGTCGGCTCTTGAACACTTCACTAAGCTACCCCGCTTGTTTATTTGTATTCACTCTAGCCTTGGACTACTCAATGGTTTTATTATCACCCAACACGTAGGCATAGCCTTCTTTAGTCACATTGGCCTTTCCTAGCCAAATTAGCTTCACTAGAGTCCTCCCCCTACTATACTTTTGGAGCTCATTAAACCCCCTAGGGTTTGGGAGACAAATGCTTTGGGTTTTCATCCTTGGACTCGAAATCGAACTTGAACTCAGATTTGGACTTGAACTCGGACTCAGTCTCGGACTCAGTCTCGGTCTCAGTCTTGGTCTCGGTCTTAGTCTCAGTCCTGGCCTTAGTCTCTTTCTTAAACTCAACCTTGAACTCCATCTCGGGTCCATCTTGGACTCCAACTCAGGTCCATCTCAGACTTCATCTCAGACTCTAACTCGGGTCCATCTCAGACTTCAACTCAGGTCCATCTGAGGTCTATCTTGGACTCCATGTTAGACTCCATTTTGGACTCCATCTCGAACTCCATCTTAAGTCCATCTTAGACTCCATCTTGGGTCCATCCCAGACTCTATCTCGGACTCTTTCTCAGACTCTTTTTTGGACTCCATCTTTGACTCCTTCTTAGACTCTTTTTTGGACTCTATCTCAGACTCCATCTTTACACTTCCATGTGTCATGTGTTAGTCCTCTTGTGTCCCTTTTCTAGGAACTCATTTATTGTTCATTTCATGCTCATTCCTCAAGTACTTCGTTGGGAGTTCCACTCCCACTCTTGACTTTTTGAGTCAGAGCTTTTATATGAGACACAAATCCTTAAGCCCCAAAGTGGAGCCGAAAGGGTGCCATGTGGTAGTGGCCGAAGCGGAAGCCAAACAAGCATAACACATTTGGATTAAAAGCTTCGACTTGAAAAGTCGAAAGCAGGAGTGAAACTCCCAACGGAGTGCTCAAAGAACAAGCACGAGGCAAGCAATAAGAGAGTCTCTAGAAAAGGGACACAAGAAGACCAACATATGACATATGAAGGAGTCTGAGATGGAGTCTAAGATGGACCCGAGGTGGACCTGGGATAGAGTTTGAGATAGACCCGAGATGAAGTCCAAGATGGACCTGAGGTGGACCCAAGATGAAGTCTGAGATGAACCCAAGATGGAGTCCGAGATGGACCCAAGGTGGACCCGAGATGGAGTCCGAGATGAACCCGAGATGGAGTTCAAGATGGACTGAGATGAAGTCTGAGATAGACCTGAGATGAAGTCCAAGATGGACCGAGATGAAGTCTGAGATGGAGTCCAAAATGGACCGAGATGGAGTCCGAGATGGACCCGAGATGGAGTCTGAGATGGAGTCCAAGATGGATCCGAGATGGAATTTGAGACAAGACCGAGATTGAGATCGAGACCGAGACCGAGACCGAGTATGAGTTCGAGATTAAGTCGGAGTTGGAGCCAGAGTCGGAAATACTAATATAGGTTGGGTGAAAGCCCAAAGCGATCGTCCCCCAGGAGGGTGCTACAGGGGGTCCCAAAAGTATAGTAGGGAGAGTGTGGGGGTTGGACTCCAGTGGAATTAATTTGGCTAGAAAAGGCCAATGTGGCCTAGAAAGGCTATATTCGCATGTTATATGATGATATAACCACTGAGAAGTCTAAGGCTAGAGTGAATACAGACAGAGAAACAGGGTAGCTTGGTGAAGTATTCAAGAGCCAGCTTTAGCTCCCTTGGGAGATCCAATGGTCAATGCTCCCAGTCCAAGTGTGGGTGGCACTACCTACTTGGATACCTAGTGTGGCTCATCGGAACCTCGCTCTAGCCACCTAGCTAAGGCACCCAAAGGTGGATGGTAGGGAGAGTACCCACAAGGCTCGTGTAAGGCTGCGGTGTTTCGAAATATTGTCCCAGAGTTCCAGACTAAAGAAAGGAAGAAGAGTAATCCTTTTGTGTGGTGACCAAAAATGCGGTCATGTGGCAAGGAAGTCCCAGAGGCCAGTGGGGCATAGTGGTTAGGCCTATGGGCCTTGACCCAGTAGCAGTGTTAGCAAACACGGCTGTGGACAAAAAGGGATTTGGTGAGGACCAATAAAAAGATATTGGGGAAGGTTGTTTTCCATGTTTGTGGGCATCCTAAGGATGCTAATGAGTGGATCTAGGATGATCACTCATGGATGATTTAGTCTTTGACAAACAAGACTGTGATATAGGTGGTGTTGGATCACTAATGTGATAAAGGTGAATGGGCATAGCTTTAGCATAACGAATTGATATATTAGTGGTACTTTTGAGTGTTAATCATGGGATCAGACATGTGGAGCACTTAGACCAAATGCAATGGTTGAGTGACATGGATGCCATCCCGAGGCCAGCAAGTCTCCAAGTTTGAAATAGGACTTTTGGAGGTTGTGAGTAAAACTCCTCCAAGTGATTAAAGGTGTGGTTAAGTGACTAAAGTAGAATGAAAAATTTAATCACTTACATTTTAGTCCAAATGTGTTAGATAAATTATTTGCATTTTAGGTCTCTAGTACAATCCATGATTACGACCTACTTGTAACATCATTAGAGCATTAAAAATAGCTAATGTTCATTTTCTTCTGCTGGCAAGCTTTGAGGATCCACCACTCCCTTGCAAATTCTCCAGAAACCTTCTCCTCCCTACTGGCTTTGTCCATGTCCCGTATGCTGCATTCCCGTGGATCGTGCCTTAAACGCGTACTCTCCTCAAGGGAGGTTCCCACAGCTTGTACTCTCAACCCTTAACTATCTCCACAGTAACTCAACACACGCAAGCTTTGGTGGGAGTTTTACCATTGAAGAAAGGATTCGAGATTGAAGTGCACAACATGGATTATCTCCACGAGTGCCAGATGGTGGTGACATCTGCAATATTTGGGAACTACGATCATCTGAAGCATCCTGCAAGCTTGAGTAGCACAAGCGTCAGAATGGTCTGCTTCGTAATGTTTGTGCCACTTTGGAATTAATCCGGCACAAAGATCCTGGTGTTCAGAGAATAATCCACGTCCAGAGCAATGCATACGCCAAGCCAAAATTCCAAAGATGCTACTCCACAGGCTCGGGTCACTTCTCTGGATCGACGGCAAGCTGTGCTTGGCGGTGGATCCTATCCAGATACTAGAGATATTCCTCTGGAGGAGCAACGACACCATGACCATCCCCAACCATTTCCAACGCTGGGATGCTTTTGAGGAGGCCAAGGCTGGCAAGATGGAGTTCATGGTCTAGTGCCGTACAACAGCAGTGCCAGGATGTTCTCGTGCCTGTGGTTCAACTCACCCCGACATATATGCGGTTGTGCGGGACAGGGTCATCACCGGATCAGTATGTTCCAAGATTGCGAGAGGCAGAACATAACCAGGTCCACTTCAGTCTAAGACTAGATTGTTTTAGAATAAACATGTTTATATGCCACTGTGGAACATATGTATAATCAAGTGCATGCAATGCATGAAAGAAAAAGGACATCTTAAAGCCGAAGCTGTCCACGCATTTTAGCTTTCAAATCTCTCCATCTTGTGTCTCATCTTTCTTGTTTCTTGCCCTCATAACTGACAATGCACTCGGGAGGCCATATAGCGGTATGATCCCCATCTCCGGCTAGCACAACACAGACAAGTTCGAGATGCTTCTGAAAGCCTGGGGCTCATCACCACACCTCAAGGAGACGCCCAAAAGTTGATGATCAGGGTGGTGAAGCATCTAGTATCACCACCGCAAAGCTTGCTTCTTGGAGCATAGCAACGGGGAGCGACCAAACTGGACTCTTTCAGGGCCCATTTCCACCTTGGTGACTAGCAGCATCAACGCTGTAGTGAACTTGATGATGCGGCGTGCTTGGATCCACTTGGAGTTATGTTGTAGATGGATTGCGATTGAATCCAGCCATGTTTTGGTAGTTGAAGGTGTGGAAACAATTTGAGAATGTGTATATTTCTTGGTTTATAATTTATATTTATAGCATGTAATTTGTAAAGCAAATTATAACCTAAGACAATCCGGTGACAACCGAATACAACTTGATGAGAGAGGCGGCGGCGGCCGGTGGGACCGGTGATGCGCTAATAATCCTCCCTTGGGCGTATGCCCGGGTCGCGGGAGGCCAGCCGCCACTCGGGGTTGGGGTAAAACGCGCTGGGTGGGGACAACTGAGGACAATCAAAATCAACCAAGGACAACCAAAGAAAAGAAATTTAATCCAGGTTATAGAATATTCATTAGAATCTATAGAACCTCTGGATCTCAAACCAGTTTTTAAATTGATGATCGGCTAGAGAAGAGAGAAAACCTCCCTGCTTTACTCGGACAAACTCGAGCAAAGTGTTTTCGACTGCGTCAAGCTTATCCAGCTGCTAAATCACCGAGGCTTGCGCCAGGGACCTGGAAATACTTTGCGCCACGCATGCCAGTTGCTGCGTTGGACCGGTAAAATGAAAATCAAAGACCTGATGCTGCTTGCCAAAGATCGGAAGGGCCGGGGAGAGCTCTCTGCTGATGAGTTGCAAGACGTGGGCTCTACTACTTGGTGGTCAGCTTTTTGCGAACTGCTTGAGTGACGTAGTCGATGTAAACCTGAGTGACAAAAGGATGTTACGAAGGAAGCTCTGTACAAATGAAAGACTTACATTGCCGTCGTATGATAAAGATGCAAACACCCAGGGGTCTCTAGCACTCCACGCGATGCCTGATTGACAAGCGGTTTCACAAAAGGAAGTACAAAGTGCGCGAAACAAACCGTAAATGCTGTCTTCGTGCTCGTGATGAGAGCGAACAAGGGGATCCGAAATCTTTGGAGAACTCAGAGAACTGAAAAAGAGATGTAAACAACGAGCTAGCGTTTCAATCGAGAGGTTCACAAACCTTTTAGATTTGCCTTCGGCAGGAGGAGGTACGTACCAAAGGTTCACCATTGCATCGGTGCCTGCGCTCTTCAGCTCAACCAGTATAGGTTGCACATTCAAGAGTGACAACAAAAGCTTACGAGAATCAGTTCTTCGTACCGACGGTTGTATTGTACTCGCAATGTCCTACAACTGAGAAGTTAGCACAACCCGAAGACTTATCGAGGAGAAAATAGTCACCAGTGTGCATGCCCAGGCAGTTCCGATAGTGGCATACCCGACATCCTCAAATCCCATACTCGAACTTTTGAGTCGTCTCCAGAAGTAACCTGAGAAACCGACAGGCACTCGAATCCAGAGGACAAGTTTGATGATCATACTATTGTGTGCTGCCGTTTTGGATTGTAATCCAAGTCACGAACTTGTCCTGCATGAGCTTGATCCACAGTGCTCGCTTCTCTGGAACAAGAGACACATCAAGTTTCAAAAAGAAAAGAACTTGCAGTAGGATCTTACTTCATAGTTCGCAGATCCCAGCACTTCAAGGAAGTTCCACACGCAGTGGCGACGATGTATACGTCGTGAGGACTCCAACAGCCTCCGGCCATCTGCTGCAAGCCAGAAGAGACACGCCCCAGCTCCTGGTACACAAACGCAACACGAGTATCTCAGAAAATCTCCGGTTTGCAGACTCTTTACCTTGGCAGGCTTTCCAGACGGATCCAAATCCCAGACATATAAATTCTCAGCGTCGATGCTAACTATCTGGTGATGTTTCCCTTTCGGGAACCAAAGAGTGCTGCAAGGAAGCGAAACACAATCGGTGTAGAAGAGAGAATACACTCTACGTACCATTTGATGCGCTGTGTATGTCCGTCTAGAGAGGCTAGTTTTTGCAAAGGCGTGTTTGCAGCACCCCTTGCTCGCTCCGGTAACTTCCAGATTGCAGCACCGAATTCACCAGCTGCACAACGAAGAATCAATAAGAAACAGGGAGAAAACTAGTAGAAGTTGCTACATCTTACCGGATGCATACACAGTGGACAAGATGCTCACATCAAATGGACAAGCCGAGAGTCCCCAGATCTCGGAAGGATGCGTGTATAGTCCATCGAAAGCTAGAGCTCCGGTCTTGTCTCCAATTTGCAAGAGGTGTATCTACATTCCAACCAAAAGGAAAACAAAACGAAGATAGCGGGCGAAAAAATCTCCACTCCACACCTCATTCTCCTCCCGCAGGCTCAGCGTACCAACAAGAAATCGCGTCCGCTGCGTGTCAGCTACAACAGCCGCGATGCATCTAGCCTGAAGAACAAAAATGATCATCCGCATTGTCAAGAGTCAGATCTGCGATCGATCCAGCGGAAGAAACAAATGGCACCTGGTACTTGACGCCATAGGTGTTCTGCGAGCCTTGCATCGCATCCTCCTCTCCTCCTGCCCTAAAATGATCGTAGAATATTCGAAGATTCCGGCTCTACATTTTAGGGTGCCACACACCTTCTCGTCGTGCTCGGGTACAAACGAGAAAATTGTTTCGAAGTTTGCAATGGAAGGATTCTTCCTGGAATACCATGGAGGGTTTCTTCTTGGTTTTCAAGAACAAAATTACAAGTCTTAGAAGGTGCTCTTTCGCGCTTTGAGCTAGAGACCAAGTGAGCACTGTGTTGGATTGTTACATGCTTGACACGGGAGAAGGATTCAGTTGCTCACTGTCGTCCTCGTAAGATCGAGAAGTTTGCCACTTTCATGCCTGGTTTTACTTTCTTCCAGGACACTGACTTTGAAATCGCATTCAATGGCGGTTCCGTTTTGAGGCGGTCAACGAGGTCAACGCGGTCAAGGGCTGGTAGACGCCTCATGACAGATTTTTGATCAGCTCGAGGCCACATGCAGATGCCGAATTAACGCTGCTTCGACTGAGGATCTAAAATACGTGGACGAGGTACTATAGCATTAGGAAAATCGTCTTAAATTTCTTTGAATCTCAGGTGCCTTTACCTGATCATCTCGACAACTGGGCGCGTACGATCATGGTCTGGTCCAAGCCATTGATGCCATGGGTAATAGCTTTAAGTTGCTTCTTCTGGTTTTTGTCGAAATAATGCTTCTCATCCTCTGCTGCGAGTACGTGCTTCCGAGGGACAGGCCTTCTACGATCCGGACTTGATGAGATAGATAGAGAAAACCAAATACACGTTGCGAGTTGAGTCGATTCTCATGATGGAATTCGCGACTTGATCCACAAGTGCCACGATCTGGCCAAAAGCTTACACCACCCAGAACGCATGCAATGGAAAGTAAAATAGAAGAGCTTGTTGCTTGTTTGGTTTGAACATGTTGATGGTACCATACTGACGCGAGGCTATTTTCTGGTCAGCTTCTTGCGAACTGCTTGAGTCACGTAATCGATGTATACCTGAAGGAGACAAAGAAGGGTTTTCTACCAGTAAAAGACATACATTCCCATCGTATGATAGAGATCTCTTGCACTCCAAGCGATGCCTGTTTGACAGATTAAAAGACTGTAAAAGGATGGGACACAAACCAAAAATGCTGTCTTCATGCTCGTGGTGGGATCGGACGAGATTTGGAAAGCTCACAGCTGAAAGAGATGTAAGTCGCACACAAGTGTTTCAATCGACAGGGTTACGAACCTGTTAGTTTTGCCTTCAGCCGGAGGAGGTACGCACCAGAAATTCACCATTGCATCGGTACCTGCGCTCTTCAATAAGTTGCACATCCAGGAGTGACAACAAAAGCTTGCGAGAATCAGTCCTTCGTATAGATGGTTGTATTGCACTCGTAATGTCCTGTGATCCACAACCAGAAGATACAGAAGTGTGCGTGTCCAGGCAGTTCAGAAAGTGACATACCTGACATCCTCAAATCCCACATCGAACTTTTGAGTTGTCGCCAGAAGTTACCTGAAAATTCCAACAGGCATTGAAACCGAGACGAGAGATGAACAAGCATACTATTGTGTGCTGCCATTTTGGATTGTAATCCAAGTCACGAACTTGTCCTGCATGAGCTTGGTCCAAAATGCTTGCTTCTCTGAAACATGAGACATATCAGGAAGAAAAATGCAGTACTTGAGGATCTTACTTCATAGTTTACAGATCCCAGCACTTTAAAGATGCAGTGGTGACGATTTCTATGTCATGTGGACTCTAACAACATATTTTACTATTTTTCACTGTAACAAGCTAAAGTGATGCTAGTGACAATAGTGTCCAATTTGGTCAAACCCCAACTGAGTGCTGATGTGGTAAGTGGGTGAGGGTCTTTAGTTTGTATGGGGAGGATGGGAAGAGACAAGCAATGGGCATTGAGTGTGAGCATGTGAGTGTATTTTTGTGTTTCAAAGGTTGATCTCCTTTGGTTTCTCTAGTTTCTTTGTTTGTGGCCGTGAATGGAGAGTTAGTTCTTGTTATTGTGGAAATGAGGGGTAGCCACATTGCTCTCACGAACAGTGTGTGATTATCCATTCCTGGACATATGTGGAAGATTGATGATTGCTAAATTGAGCATCATGAGTGGTTGTTAATTTGAAAAATGTAAATAGAGCCTGCTTTATGTGGCATTGGAGACTTTCAATGAGAATCCTAAGGGCATTGTTGGAAACTGATGCAGCAAATCGAGGCAAAAGCCTAATTTTTGAGGCATAGCAAGTGAGCCAAACAAGAAATCTGTGTTGAACACTCTATGCGTGTGAGAGGAAGTTTATTATGGCTAGTTGCTAACATTTCTTTTTTGGGGAATGAGGCAAATGCTGCTTAAGTCTAAGAAATGAGGGAGACAAAATCCCAACGGTTGTGTTTGCTAAGCAAATTGTCAAAGGGCCAGGTTGAACAAGCTATAGTGGCTTTGAGATCAACAAGCTATGGTGGCTCCAAATTCTCTCAAGTTGTTATAAAGGATTATAGAGAGTTGATTTTGATTCTAATGGCTGAGTATTTTTGCTAGATTGTGTTATGTCGAGGGTTATGGGCGCTAGGGTGTTTTATATTGTGTTCTTGTAATCTTTTTTGGTTTATCTGGTTTCTTTGCTTAAAATAATCGTAGAATATGCGAGAAATATGCATTTTAGGGTTCTTGCATTGGGGAGCGCCATTCTTTCGATCCTATCAACTGGATCCCAGTCGGTACGTCTTGGCAATTGCGTACATTGGGCTCGAATCTTGGATCGCTTCGGCGCTTGCAATCGCATCCGTACGGCGCCGCGGCGTGGAAGCAGGGATCCATGGAAATCAGCCTGGAGCAATTGGCCGTGGCGCTGCGATCGTCATTGTCAGCGAGGAGGAGCCACGGTTTGATCCCGGCCAGGCCCTGGGCGACGTACCCAAACGTGGATCCGGGGCTCGTGACGAGCTCGTCACACATTGAGAGCAGTACCATCTCCGCCAGCGCCTTCTCGTCGTGCTCCAAGTTGTCGGTCCTCTGCGATTCTTCGTGGCTCGGGGAGAGAACTCTCACGACTCCATCCGATTCCAGGGAGAAATCTCGTAGCCTCTGGAAGAAGAACCGATCCAGCGATGTCACGAGCGCCGTGGTCTTCGATCTGGATCTGTTCGACGGGAGATCAAAGAGGCTGTTTTGGAGGAGGCACTGGATCATCGCTTGGGCGAAGCTGGATTGCGAGTGCGGTCGCAGGCCCAGATTGGGCGCGAGCTGGCGCATCTGGATCCCGATCAGCTTGGTCGAGTCCGCCATGGAGGCTTTGTAGAATCTAGAAGCTTGATGCCACACGGAGTTGGATGGAGAGAACAAGTATCGCCCAAGGTGGTGGAACACGACGGTCTCTTGCTCCGCCGGGAAGAGACGATCGAGCTCGGCCTTGAATTGCGGCACCGCGTACAAGCTGGGAGCGTAGTACTGGCTACTCCGGATGGACAGCCACGCCACTCGATCGCCCAGCGCGCGCTGCTGCCGCTCGCAGAAGAAATTCTCGCCCAGGCTTGTCTCGCTGATGATGTCGATGGAGAGGTGGCTGCCGAGCACCCGATCGAGATCGTCGGCGCAGAAGCGATGATCGAACTTGGGCTTGGGATCGCCGAGCGCGAATTTGTTGAGGATCTCCCGAGAGACTAGCCAGGAGCTACGAGGGAATGGCTCGCAGAAGAGATTTGCCATGTCCTCGCCGGGATCGATGAGGAGCACCCTGTCCGTGAGGAGCGCGTAGAGGAAAGTGGCGGCGATGGACACCATCTTGTTGCCAAGGCCGCTGAAGTTGATCCACACCACGAATTTGCACTCGCCGGTCGTGAGATTCCCGCGGCGATCCCAGGATTGGGGATGATCTGGAGCGCAGCGCGCGTGGAGATCTTCGTACGAGCGCAGTCTTCTCTCGAGGTTTGTAGATGGGATGTTGCGATCGATTGCGGCTGCACGGTAGTATAGGTGCCGCTGGAGCCGGCTCTGGCATCGATCGTTCTCCCGGATGGGCAGCAATCCATGCAGCGATTCTCTATCGCGAGAAGCTCTCGAGGAGGAGAAGTAACAAATTCCTTTGGCTACCTCCCAGATCCGAAACTCTAGAACCAGCAAGTAGATAGAAATCGCGAGAATTCCCGGCACTAGCATTTTCGTCGCGCCCATCCGGCCCAAAGTTTGGTGATCTCCAAACTCCCAAAGTTTGAAATTCCAAAGCAACGAATATTCTCTGATTTGTGCCAGGGTACGGATACCCTGCCGTCCGTACGTCTCCGAGCTCTCAGGAGCTATGCTGTGCCTCTACGCTAGGGTTTGCGGCAGCGCAGCGAAGATCCGGGGCGCTCTCCACATCGGTACGTCTTTCAAGCTGCAGGGATCCCGAGCTCCATTCTCCGCGGCGATCGCCTGATCCGGACGGAGCGGCGCGAGAGATCGGAGGGGAGCGACAAGATGGACAAGGTCGCGGGATGGGTTGGAGGAAGCCTGGCGTCGGCATTCTTCGCGTCGCTGGAGCGATCGTCGTGCGTGACCTTGTCGACCACGGACACGGACGACGAGGAGGACGTGCCGCTCGAGGTCCGGGTGGATACCGGGCACCAGAGCAGCGCGTCCTGCGCGGATCATCAGGGCTACAAGCTGGGGCTCGTCGGCCACGACAAGTTCGTGAGGAGCAATCCCATGTCCGATCGCTTCGGTGTTCTTGGCTTCCACCACGTCGAGTTTTGGTGTGGCGATGCCTCCAACACCTGGCGGCGATTCGCGTGGGGGCTGGGGATGCATCTGGTGGCCAAGTCGGATCACAGCACAGGGAATCACACGTACTGCAGCTACGTGATCAGCTCCCGTGAGCTCGTCTTCGCCTTCACTGCTCCATACTCGTCCAAGAAGGCCGACCAGGAGCTCAGCCAGATGCCACACCCGGGCTTCTCATCGAGCGACGCGCGGCGGTTCTTCTCCATGCACGGGCTGGCGGTGCGAGCGGTGGGGCTGCTGGTGGAGGACGCGGAGGAGGCTTTCCGGAAGAGTGTTCTTGGCGGAGCTCTGGCGGTGTTTCAGCCCCAGGAGCTCACGGACGAGGCCACCGGCACGAAGGCTGTGATAGCAGAGGTGAAGCTGCTCGGGGACGTGGTGTTGAGATACATAAGCTTGAAGGGATTCTCGGGAGCTTTCTTGCCGAATTACACGCCGGTGGAGAGCCTCCCGCTCACTTCCGGGTTTGTGAGGCTCAGCTACGTTGCGGCGAATGTTTACAACCTTCTCGACACCGTCAACCACATTGTCAAGTTTACGGGATTCCACGAGGTGGCCGAGTATACGACGGACGACGTTGGGACCAAAGACAGCGGCTTGAACACCATGGCTCTTGCGAGCAACAACGAGACGGTTGTTTTTTCGCTGAGTGAGCCGACTTACGGGACCAAGCGCAAGTCGCCCATTCAGACTTACCTGGAGCAGAATGAAGGCTCAGGGATCCAGCGCTTGGCTCTTCAGTGCGACGACATTTTTGGGACTGTGAATGATATCCGTGATAGGATCGATGCTGGTGGCTTTGAGTTCTTGCCAGCTCCTGGTCCCGAGTATTATGATTCCATGCGCGGAAAAGTTGGCAGCGTTTTGACTGAAGAGCAGATACTTAAATGCCAAGAGCTCGGTATTTGGATCGACAAGGACGAGCACGGCATTCTCTTACAAATATTTACCAAGCCCGTAGGAGACAGGTACGTGTGTCGTATTTCCTTGGCACGATCTAAGTTGTTTTCTACGCAGGCCCACCCTGTTTCTAGAGATCATCCAGCGTTTGACTTCGATCGAAAGCCAGAGTTTTCAGGCGGACAAGTTCGATGTTGTTGGGAAGGATAACTTTTCGGCACTGTACCGATGCTTGGAAGAGTATGAGAAGACTCTGGATGCAACACGGCAGATGTAGCAATGTAAGTTACTGGTTCGTCGACAAGCAGCAATGAGCTACTCAAGTAAACGCTGTGCATCCCCTTGGACGTTGGGTAGGGTCGTTTGGTTGGGAGGAGTATTTCAAACTTAAATGCGGGGGTGGCTGCAAATATGTGTTACGAAATTGAATCAGATGGTAATGTGGGATGTGGGAAGAACAATCAGAAAAAAAGAAAAGAAAAGAAGGAAAGTCCTCTACGGAACTACGCAAGAAGAGAACTCAAGGACTGTGCGGGGGAAACTCGTCTCGTACATTTAGCCATTTTTCTTCTTCATTCATCGGCGATGACTTGAAACGTTGGAGAACGAGTATCAACACGATAGTAGCTACTGCGCGACAAAAAAATTCACGAATAATTTGGAACTTGAGCAGCGGCAGGCTGGGACGTAAAACCAATCGGTTTTCGTTCATGCTTTGATCTTCTTGGGAGCTGCTTGGTTGTCCAAGACGACGTAGCTTCCACACCTGGGACACTGTGGATTCTTTGGGGACAGCATGACGTACATGAGGCAGCTCTTGCATCCGGTCACTATAATTCCAGACGAGGAGCAGTCGTCGCAAGAAGAGGTCCGTTTGTGGTCCAAGTTGGTCCCCTCGGCGGCCAGTTTTGATGAAGAAGAAACAGCTGCTAGATTGCGTGGAGAAGCCGGCTTGCATCCTAAATTCAGTTCCAGGTCCAGGTGCTCTTCCAAGGTGGAAGTCGGGCTGTTGTTTTTCGCGTGGTGAGCTTTGACGGAGGTGGCTCGGCTGCTGTTGCTCTGGAGGAGATCGAGGCAGAGAGACGAGCTCCGATTCAACGAGCCAGACTGTAGGAGCCGGGGATCGTCAATGGTGCTCAAACCGGTGCTACAGTTGACGAAAGTTATGGAGCCAGACTGCGGCAAGAGAAGAACTTTCAGCCAAGAGAAAGGAAGAGGAATGGACAGCAATGAGTTCTTGGTACCTTCAAGTCGAGGCGCTTCTCCCATCCGGTTGGAAGCGGTGGCTCTTTTTCGTGATCCAGATGGACAGTCTCCGAGGATTGGCACGGACGGATTGCTGGCGGAAGCGGTCCCGAGCTGTCGACCGGCTTTCCCATCATCAGGCTGAGGATCTTCTGGGGGTCCTCGCTCCAGGCGTGTGGCTCCTTGGCACTTGTCGTCTTGATCGAGCTTGTGCACAATTCAGCAGCCTGCCAGCCCAGCTCCATTGTTGCAACTGTCATCCGGAAGTGGAAGAATACGAGGCGAAGAGGTGGAAGGAAAGATGGGATAGGACGAAGAAGAAGAAGAAGAAGAAGAAGAAGAGCAGCAGCAGCAGCTATAGATGGCTAGATAGATTGGAGGAAACGGGGGAGAAGGGAAGGAGCACAGGGAAAGGAAGACTAGTATAGAACGAGAACGTGAGGGACGTGCTTTGAATAGCAGCGGAGAAGCGTAAAGGATGCCAAGACTCTCCCCATGAGCTGCATACAATGATAAGTAGGCGGGCGAGCTCTTTGTCCGGCCAGCCAGCCAGTATTTCTCTTCAGAAAGGTGGGGTCTGCAGCCCGTGCTTTGCATTAAATGCAGGTATCTTTAAGCAGCACTTCTCAGCAAGTAAGTATGCGATCTCTCCCCTCATTTTCTCCTTGCTTTCCGTTTTTTGCTAGTTGGCTTTCCTGGCTGGTGGTGGTGGTGGTGATTGACTAAGCAAGCAAGCATTCATGCTGGCATTTGCATTTGCATTGGCAGTGATTGCATGCTCTTAGTTGAGATCTCGCCGATTTCAATCCCATCATATACTGAAGTCCAAAAATCTCTTTAACCACCCGAAACAGGGAAGACGAGGAGGGGGGCCTCTCAAGTGGTGAAGTAGCTTGCATCAAGCCAAATCCACCTGACGCTCAGCGGCAGCAACAGCATGAACGAGGTGCATTATGGAGAGGGTGTGTGGTCCAACAAAGGAAAGCAGCAATGACGGAAAGAAAAGTGAGCGACTTTATCAGGCGTGCATCAAGCGTAAGTAGTAGCCAATGCTGGTAAGTATATATTCGGGTTTTCTTTCCTTTATCTTCGTGTTGTTTCCTCCTTGCATGTTTCTCCTCTGGCTTCTTGCTTGATTGCGCTTCCTTTTTTTTTTCGTTATGGTTTGAGTTTAGCTGCATTAAGTTAGTCTAGATGCTGGTTCCTGAGAGTGCGGGTGGGATTTACAGGTGGTTCAGAGGAAGCACTGTTTCCCATGCCATCTATCAATTAATGCTCTCTGACAAGTACATTCATTGCTTTCCAGGTCGCCACCACATTTTCTTTGGTCAGCAGAAGGCGATCACAGCAACAAGCAGGAGAGAATTCGTAACGCAAAGCAGCTTTCGTTCCTCCTAATCGGTATGTTAAAAGCGGAGAGGGTGCTCCTGGCCTGGCTGCTTTAAGCTCGTTGAGGTATCACAATTCCTGGAACTATCTTTTGTTATGATCTCTCCCTTGTCCCTTTTTTTATTCTTTCCCCTCGTCGACTTTTAGGCTTTTGAGCTTCTTTCTTTATTGCTTTAGCCTTTGGGTTTGATCGTGATGCCTTCACATTCTCAGCAGAATTCAATGCGTCGCGCTAACAAATTTGCTTTTTGCTACATTGCAGCCAGGCATCAAGTTGGGGGACGGGTACTTTGACATTACCTGGCATTTTTCCCGTCTATCGTTTTCCCGCTTGTGCTTGCTGGTTGGAAGCCTGTAAGTTAAGACATATCCAGTTACAGTTACCTAACTATTTCAGCAGGGACACCACCAGCGGACTCGCACTATTTGGCCAGTGCATATCACTGGAAACGTTTGTTTGGAAGCATCCGCTTTTGTCAAGCTTCACGCTTAGACATTTGTTTACCCGCCTGCCAGAAGAGCAACAAGACTTTCGGGTGTCCTCCGAGGACATACAGGCTTGGACTTTCGGAGGTTATTTTATTCTGTTGAGATCATTATCACTGGCATTATCTCGTTGGAGTTGACCGGGTGAGTACGCTTCCCATGTTTTTTTCTTTGTTTGATTCGTTTTCTCTTTCTCAAGCTTCCTAAGTGATTTCCTGGTTGGTTTGGTGTTTCAGACTTTGGGCGGTGGTGAATTACACCGTCCAGCTCTTAAGGCACATCCCAGAATCTATAATGGCTGCTGCAGTCTATTTCCTTCAGAGCACACATGCTGAAAAAAAGTACCTAGTGTCGCTCTCGGGATGCATACACCATGCAGCAGCAGTTCATTACTATCTACTAGCGACGATGTACAATGCTTCAATGGTTCAATTGAAAGCTTGGTAGGCCTTCAATGGTTCTGTCTGGCGTTCGTTCCTCTCTCCTCAATGCAGGTGTAAATTTCTTCAGAGCGGCCATGAAAGTTTTCAGGCCATGGAGAGCTTTCAGCCATCGTCACAAATGCGAGGTTGCGTTTCTCTCTTTTATTTGCAATTGTTCCTTGCTGATACTTTATTGGTTCTTCCTTTCTTTTCTTTCGGCTTGAATTGAAGCTGACAGATGAACGCTATGATCGAGCAATGGTTGGTAGGACATTTCTCATGGAAGTTGCAGTGGTAAAGTAAGTTTTGCTTTGATCTCCTCGTGAACTTTGTAGTATTTTTTCTTCTCTTTCAGGTACGCTGATACTGTGGATGCCTTGAGCTGCAAAGTGCCCCTTGTGTCGGCGTGAAATCAACATCCCACAGGTAAAAGAACGAGCAATTTCCTTCCAAGCTATTTGCTTTTGTGGCCGAGGTAAACTATTAGATTTGTTTCCTCATCCTTGAATGTTGACAGGGAGATGCATTCAAGGAAGGTGTTGGCACAGCAGTTATTGAAAACGTTGAGCAATTCTGTCTGGTGTCTCTATTTGGGATCTTATCCTGTGTCTCTTCTCGCCAGAAGATATATCTCATGAACGGTGTGATGCTTCAATCAGGTTGGTTCTTCCTTTTTTTTCCTTGATATTAATTCGTTTTAGAAACATTTTGTTTGTGCATCGGTAGTGTTGCTGGCTGTTGGCATTCCAGCCAGTGAACGCATCCTAGCTGTGTACTGCACTGGTGCGTGGCTGCTACTTGGAAATCTAGGATCATGGATTTCTGTCCATATTTTTCTCTTCATCGACTTCTGAAACGAAGACCGACTTTTTGAGTATGTCATCGAGAACTGTTCTCAATATCACAGCACCGGGAAAAGCTACAAAGGATAAAACAAAGGTTTTCTTTCAATGTTTTCGTGCTTGGATACTGATTTCTTCCTTGGAACAGGACTCAGGAGCAGAAAATGAATCTTTTATCCAGTCGAATCAAGTAAGAGCATTTAAGTTTGTGGATGTTCTCAAGCTCAATCCCGTAGCTTACAGACAGTCATCGGACTTGAATGGTGCAAGCTTGTCACCAATAAATGCCCCGAACCCCTGCTCCTGTTCTGGCGATATACGAACCAAGTGAGATCAGATCTTTTCTCTTTCCTTTCTTTATGTAACAGGCTCACACACACTATTCACACAGAGCTATCTATCCACAAGAAGATCGCGATCTTCGCTTTACTAAGTGGAGCGAGCTCGCTTGAGGCCTTGCTCCGCTGGATAAGTTCCGGTAGCAGCAGTGACTTGCGAAGGGAGATTGCTGAAGCTGCGAATAAAAGAGGTGGGGAGGCCGGCGTAGAGCTCCACCACTCTCTTGATGTTGTAGTTGAGCTCCTTAATGAGCATCACATTTCGGGAGAGGCTCTCCGGGATCTGGGACTCCTGGTTGACGTTGATCTCCTTGATGAGCAGCCGGTTGTGGTCCAGCAGGAACTGGACCTGGTGGAAGGTTCTCTGGAACACACCCCATGCCTTGCCTTCTGCTCCACCCAAGCTGGAGTCCATCTCTCCTCAAATCCTGTAACAAATACTTCCAGCTTGTAAGCGGCCAGAAGAACAGAACTTGGGAATGAAAGCAACCCACCTTGACAGTGTTCTTGGTTTCTCTCCTGGATGGAAGACACCGAGGCTCGAAGCGATGGGTTTTCTTCTGCGAGGAAAAACCTTTGTGAGCTCTGTCACTTTCTCGCTTGCCTGCTTTTCTTCTTCGTTGGAAATCCGAATGTAAATCCTAGACAGCCCAAACGCATGAGCATTTTCGTCTAGTGACGAGAATAAAGTGGAAAAGCGACAACGTATGGGCACACCTTTCTATGCCCAGTTCTTGGCTCTGCAAAAGCCAGTTTTATTAGCACGCGCTGGGAAAGGAAAATAGTCGCACGAAACATGGACGCCTGGACGAGGATGTTCTTTTACCGGTGCGTCGTGTGCTGGCTGTGGCTTTCGTCTTTGCTTACGAGCTTTTCTTGCCAGACAGGAAGTGCTCCGCCACGATCCGTCTCTGGATCTTCCCCGTCGCGGTTCTCGGCAGCTCGTCCGCGAAGAACGTCCGGCGTGGGAGCTTGAACTGCGCCAGGTTCTTTTTGCAGAAGGCAAGGATGTCTTGCTCGGTGGCGGACTCGCCTTTGTGTAAAACAACGGCCGCGTTCACCTGGAAAAGAGGGTCGTTTAATGAAACACTGCTTCTCAGGAGAAACGCTCTCACCACTTCTCCGTATTTTTCATCCGGCGCTGCAAATGCCACGGCTTCTGATACTGCCGGATGAGCGAGCAAGACGGCATCCACCTCGAGGGGCGAAATCTTTTCGCCTGCACAAAAGCTTTAGAGATGAAAAAAGAAAAGAACAAGGATCACACAAAGACGCACCTCCCTGATTGATGAGCTCTTTAATTCTCCCGGTTAAAGTTACGTAGCCATCCTCGTCGAGAAAGCCTCTATCTCCAGTATGAAACCAGCCGAAAGCGAAAGCCGTCTTGTTAGCCTCGGGATTGTCCTTGTACCCCGTGGTCACATTCGGGCCGCGGATGCAAACCTCTCCCTGCTTGGTCTTCTCCTGCTTCTCGCCATTGTCATCCAGAATAGCCAGCTCTATCCCCGTTGGCTTGCCTACAGTCCCCGGCTTGTGAGGCCCGTGAGAAGGTAAAGGATTGGACGTCATCTGGTGGCTCGCCTCCGTCATCGCATACGCCTCCAAAACCGGAGCCGAGAAAGCCTCTTCCAAGTTCGCAAGCACCGCCGGCGCCAGCGACGCGCTACAGCTCCGGATGAATCTCAGCTCCGGATACTCGGCCTCCGGATTGCTCTTGTGACGAGCCAGCAAAATCTGATGGACCGTTGGCACCGCCGAGTACCACGTAGCTCCATACTCCTTCACGTCCTTCCAAAAGGTGGCGGCCGAGAAGCGTCCAGCGGCTGGGAGAATGGCTGTCCCACCCGATGTCAGCGTCGAGAGCAAGCTACACATGAGGCCGTGGACGTGGAAGAGCGGCAGCACCACCACCGTCTTGTCAGTCACCGAGAGCTCGTAAGTTCCCACGATATTCTTCACGGAGGAGGCGAGGTTGAACTGGGTGAGTGGCACCCCCTTGGGTCTGCTCGTAGTCCCGGAGGTGTGGAGGAAGAGGGTCACATCGCTTCCAACCGGATGTGGGAGATCCAGATCTTCCTTCTCGGAGTTTAGCTCGAGCCTGTTCTTGGGGGTGACTTCCACGATCAGAAAGCCCGTCTCTTCCTCTTTCCCCCAGTGGATTCCTGCCACTGGCAAGCCGAGCTGGTCAGCAGCCTCCTCGGCGCTCTTGTTTCCTTCCAGCCCTGGGACTAGCAGCAGCGACGATCCAGCATCTTGCATAGAGAATCGAAACTCCTCCGGTGTGTAGGCGGAGTTCAAGGGAGCTGCGACGCAGCGGAGCTTGGCCACGGCCAAGAACACCACGACGAACTGCCAGAGAAAAAGAAAATGCGAAATTTCGACACAGGATTGGCCCTATCCTCACGCGCTTACCTCGATCGTGTTGGGGAATGCGAGCGAGACGAGGTCGCCAGGATTCAATCCGGTGCGCTTGAGCTTGGACGCCGTGCGGAGAATCGCTGCCTGGAGCTCGGCGTGCGTGAGGCGCGGGCCTCCGGAGGCGATCAATGCATCGCTGTCCGGCTCCAGTGAGGCGCCGTCGACGAGGAGTTCGATCAGCGTGAGATTTCCATCCGAGGGAGTTGTGGCGGCCATTGCTAGATCGAAGAGACGAACACTACACGTGTCACGCAAGAACCCTATGTTCTAAAAGGTAAATAAACCCTATGTGACGGCATATACCATAATGTGACAGAATATACTACAACAGCGATTTTAGGGTTCTATAGTTTTAAAAATTTGAATGATAATTTTTAGATGCTCGATCGCCATGCGTCCTTGGACCTCGTAGATCCTCCCAATTCTTCCTTGCATGGTCTCCATTCGCGCATCGATCCATCCAATCGATCTCGCCCTGACGCCTTCGCGGGCAACAAGCTCATCCAGATGCACGGCAAGCGCGGCAGCGTCGAGGAGGCGCGCCGCGTCTTCGATTCGATCCAATCCAAGGATGATTACTCCTGGGCGATGATGATTCACGCCTACGCGCGCAACGCCCGGATGGATCACGCGCAGCAGCTCTTCGACGCGATGCCGCGGCGCAACCTCGTGTCCTGGACCGCGATGCTCAGCGGCTATGCCCGGATCGGTCATCTCGAGCGCGCCAAGGGATTCTTCGATTCCATGCCGGAGCACGGCCTCCACTCCTGGACGGCGATGCTCACAGCCTACGCGATCCACAGCCAGCTCCTCGCGGCCGCCAAGATCTTCGCGGCCATGGAGGAGCGCGATCGGGTCTCGTGCACGGCAATGCTCTCGGCGTACGCCAAGAACGGGCGCCTCCGCGAGGCGAAGAAGATCTTCGACGCGATGCCCGAGTGGGATCTGGTGACGCGCGACGCGATGCTCGCGGCATTTGCCGACGCTGGGCAACTGGATCGCGCAGAAAGGCTGTTCGAATCCATGGAGGAGGCCGATCTTGTGGCCTGGACTTCGATTCTCACTGCCGCAGGAGCCACGGGGCGCGTCGCTAGCGTCAAGAAGATCTTCGATCAAATGCCCGAGAGCGATCTTATCTCCTGGACCGTGATGCTGGATGCATTTGCCCAGAACGGGCATTTGGAGGAGGCCAAGCTCTTCTTTGATAGAATGCCCGAGCACACGATCTTCGCGTGGACGACGATGCTCAACGCGCTCGCCCAGCATGGATACCTCGACGAGGCAAAGCTTCTCTTCGATCGAATGCCACACAGAGATCGCTTCGCCACGACCTCGATGCTCGTCGCGTATGCCCACAACGGGCATCTGTGCGAGGCGCGCGAGATATTCGATTCCATCCACGGCAAATCGCTCGTCCCGGAGACGGCGATGGTGTCCGCCTACGCGCGTGCCGGCAAGCTCCGCCTCGCCGAGCGCCTCTTCGATCAGATGCAAGAGCGCAGCATCGTCTCCTGGAACGCGATGCTCGCGGGCTACTCCCACAATGGCCGCTCCATCGCCCTCTTCGCGGCGATGAATCTCACGGAGTTCCCAGACGAGATGTCGCTGTGCTGCGCGCTGCTGGGTTGCGCCCACCTCGGAGATCTCCATCGCGGTTGGGAGTTCTTCGTGGCTATGGCGATGGATTTTGTTCTAGCGCCGCGCAAGGAGCACTACTGCTGTATGGTGAGCCTCCTGGGGCGCGCCGGGCATCTCGCCCACGCCGAGGAGCTCCTCCACTCCATGCCCTTTGTGCCCGAGGCGCTGGATTGGACGTGTTTGCTCAGCGCTTGCCACGCCCACCGCGACGCCGAGCTCGGGGCTAAAGCCGCCAAGCTCGTGATTGGCATGGATCCACACCATGGCGCTGCCTACGTGCTCCTTACCAACACGCATCGATCGAGGGCGCTTAGAGGGCGATTGGATTCTTGTTCGATCGATCAAGTGGATTGAGAATTGATGACTCTCTCGCAGGGAATGATGATCATCGAGGCTAACAACAGCATTCCTCTCGATCGGGATGCCTGCATTGAGCTCATCCAGTCGTGCCGGAGCCTCGCCATGGCATCGATCGCGCATTCTAAATCCCAGCATCTCTTCCACAGCGATTCCTTCGTGAGGAATCAGATGATCCGGGCGTATGGGCGGTGCGGCGACGCATCGCGCGCTCGAGATATCTTCGATTCCTCGCCGGCAAACAGGGATCGATTCTCGTGGGGTCTTCTTCTCGCAGCATATGCCCATAATGGGCATCTTGAGCTTGCAAAAGAAACCTTTGATTCCATGCCCCGGCACAACCTCGTCGCCTGGACGACGATGCTAGCAGCGTTTTCTAATCGTGGACACGTGGCAGAATCTAAGCGGTTGTTTGACTCAATGCTAGAACGAAATATTCTGTCGTGGACCGCTATGCTTTCTGCATATGCCCAGGCCGGAAATCTAGAAAGCGCCAAGTCCTTGTTTGATTCCATGCCCGAGCACGATCTAGTCGCTTGGAATGCCCTTCTTTCGGCATATTCTATCAACGGGAATCTTCACGGCGCAAAGCGCATGTTTGATTCTATGAAGGAGAAAGACGTTGTGTCGTGGAACGCGATGCTTCACGCATATGCCCAATCAGGGCATATTGATCAAGCAATAGGGATCTTTAAGAACACTCCAATGCAATCCTTGGTATCTTGGACGACGATTCTTGTGGCATATTCGCAAGCCGCGCTCTTGGATAAAGCAAAAGGGCTGTTTGACAAGATGCCGGAGTGGGATATAGTCTCTTGGAATGCTATTCTATCAGCATATGCCCGGAGTGGGCGTGTCAAGGAGGCAAAGAGGCTGTTTGATGGAATGGAGGAGAAGGATCTAGCGTCGTTCATAACCATGGTGACGGCATATGCTGCTAACGGACATTTGGAGGAGGCCAAGGTCTTTCTTGACGGAATGGCACAATGGGACATTGTCACGGTGACGGCGCTGCTAACGGCATATGCTGAGAGAGGGTATCTGGAAGATGCTAAGCGCTTGTTCGATGGCATTGAGAATCCAGACCACATTCTCTGGGCAGCAATGCTTAACGCATATTCCCAAAACGGGTATCTCGCCGAAGCGCTAGAGCTCTTTCGAATGATACCCGAGCACAACAATTTCCTCTCCATTGCGATGCTCGTAGCATATGCCCAACGTGGGCATCTAAATCTCGCGATCTCTATATTTGATCGCCTACCGGAGAGGAACTTGATTGCCTGGAACGCGATCCTAGCATCATGCGTCAACAACGGACGATGCGAGGTTGCGGTTGAAAGCTTTCACTCGATGAAGCTCGTGGATGTCCCGGATGAGATGAGCTTCATGTGTGTTCTTGCGGGTAGTGAGCTCCAGTCGAGCGTCAGCTCCTTCCTCTCGATGATTACGGACTTTAACATCGCGCCGAGCAAGCAGCACTATTCTTGCGTCATTGATCTCCTCGCGCGATCCGGGCACTTGAGCCACGCCAAAGATCTCATCACAAACATGCCATTTGTTCCAGATGCTCTCGACTGGAGATCTTTACTCGCTGCTTGCAAGAGCTCCAACAATCCGGGACTGGGAATCCACGCCACGAAACAAGTCGTGAGTTTGGAGCCTAGAGATTCGTCGCCTTACATGCTCCTGGCGAACTTGACCACCGAAAACCAGGAACTTCTCTAAGATCTCGACGGAGCCGCTTTCATTATTATCCAGATGAGCTGAAACGAGCTCGATCCGCTTATGGAGAATCTAAGTGTTGCAACTATCTCTTTTTGTTGATGCTGTTAAGAGGCAAAATTCGGCTAAACAAACAAAGCTTTCTTCTTCTGAGCAATGGCTGGGACTTTTTTTTCTCTTCTCCTACAAAAGAGGAGGTGAAGCTGACACTGAACAACATTTGAAACGGGGCCTGGCACATCACCCCCAGGTAGTTGTCGTCCTCCAGCCGGTAGCATGACTTCTTGTGGAGAACTTTGTCCAAGGAGTGGGGTTTAGATTAGAAAGAGAACAAACTAACAATCTCAACATCACCCCACAAGAATACAGGCCGATGAACACAGGAAGTTAATGGAAACACAGACCTTGGTGCAAGCTGGCTATTTATTGCGGACCTGTAGCAAAGTGTAGCACTTAAAAATAAAGAAGAAACAAAAATAAACCTAATTTAAAAAGTGCTCCAGACATTCTCTTTAAGACCTTCTGGGACTTGGAATCACAGCCTTAAAAAAACTCTTCCATCATGTGCACAATTTTCACTCTCAATATATAGATCTCATCAAATTCACAACCACGTTTCAATAACTCAAACACCTTAATATTACAAACTAGCTAGATTTTCAAATAGTTTTATCATTTGAAAATTATTTTCACAACAATTTCTTGTCCTTTTTATGAAGAGTTTCTGAGCAAAGCTTGCCACTCCAATAGAATTGGAGTTTTGTGCAAAGCCATTGCTCTTGTTCTTGTGGCTGAAGCAATATCTACAGCAATATGAATTTACTTGGTGTTTAAGAAAGTTTATAATTTATAAATACAAAGCTGCATCACTTTGCTCCAATGGAAGAAGAACATGTTCCCATCACATTAGCTCAATGCATAAAGATAGAATGGGATCAACTAATAACTTTAAGCCTGAAGGCCAAATTTTGCTAGGAGTATGCTCAATGCCTCTAGGCTGTTAAAAACCAAGAGATTGCCTTAGCAAGGGCAGGGCCTGTGAGGCATATGAAGCACAAGACTACACTGGCCACAGGCCTTCCAAATGGACAAATGCATGATCAAGTTTATAGCCAATTGCTATCACCAAGGATGTCCAACTTGATCCTAGCTCAGCAGCTCAACATTGGTAGAAATTCTCTAGACAAGTTTTCAATTTTTATGGCAACAACTATATACATATATATGCATAGAATAAGCGAACATAACTAGGCATATAGGTGAACTTGAGTTCAAGTTTTTATTATTATAAATGGTGTTGAGTTAAGCTTTTGACCTCATCCTTTCATGCCAAGTGTGATTTTGAGGTGTCTCTCCTTTGTTTTATATTTATTTATCTTTCTTCTATTTTTTTAATTTTTATTCTACTTCATCCTTTTACTTTTGTTTTCATTACTTTTATCCCTCTATTATTTTTTTTTCATATTTTCATTTTGCTCCTCTATTCCATTTTTAAATCCTTCAACAATCTTTATGTTTTAGTAGTTAACCAAGTTAAGAAAGAGTATGCTAATCTTTTCGACTTTAACCTCTTGTCTAGGGCCAAGATTATAATGCATCATCCTATTCCAATTCAGGATAGTTGTTGAATTAAAGTTCTTGTTTAGCGTTAGTCATTGAAAAAGATCAAGATTTTATACATAAATGTTAAAGAGATGTTAAAGAAAGGTGTTATCTGAAAATTTCAAAATCATTGAGCGTATGAACATTATCTTATGACAAAGTCTAATGGGAGTATTCAATTTTACATTGACCATTGTCCATTAAACAAGATGATTATCTCAGATGGTATACCTTCTTCTTTACACTGCTAATTTATTGAATCATCTGAGTTGGTTCACTAAGTTAAATTTTGTTTCTAGGTCTTTACAAATGTTAATGGTTAAGGAAAATGTTCCCAAAGCTACATTTTGTACACCATTTAGTTTGTACAAGTTTTTAGTAATGTTGTACAACTTCTATCATCATCCAACTATAGAGTACAATGTGAATAAAATAATACTAGTTTCATTTTCCCAATTTTACAGTATATAAATAGGCTTTTTGCTTAATGGAAGGGATCGTTTGTGGCAAGTTAGATTACAAGTTTATGAAGTTTAATTTAATAAGCCAATTCTTTAAAATTTTTATATGTGCAATAATTAAAAGGCTTCATAGAAAGGGATTAGGAATAATTGGCACCATCTACAAATACATTAGTGCTTTTTCTTAATGTTTTTTTAAATCTTGGTCAATCAATTAAAGAACCTTAATTGCCTTCCATTTTTCTAAAGAAAAAGGGATAATATGAGGTCCAAATGTACAATTATAATGCCATATATTGGACCATTTTTTCTTATATATAAACTAAGGTATTTGGGTTAATTAAATATGCATATTTTTATATTTCATTTCCATATTCCATACACTCACAAAGGCAATTATATGCTTGAGATCTTGGGATATAATACTCTTTCTAGCAATCTTAGGATGCAAAACTTTTTCTAGCATTAGAGAGTTGGGTAGAGATTGTTTTCCCTAGATCCAGCAATATATAGGTGTGGAAATTGACTTTCCCAACACAAGCATCTAAATCTTCTAATTTCTATATAGAAATTTAATCATGGAATGCAATCCTAGCATCCTGCATGAACAATGGATATTCTCCAAGATCTTTTAGAAATGGCTAACACTCTCTATACATTCTTACCTTAAAATGTGTAAGAACCCATTACCCATTAACCATTGTGGAGGAGAAATATTTAAGTTCACTATACCAAGAATGATGATTCTTTCTATAATAAGAATCTTATTTCAATTTTGATGATTTGTATTTTGTTAAATATGTTTTAAGTGCAAATAACCTCTATATAAACACAGAAGCACAAGTGAAAATATAATCACAAATATATTAGGAGAAATTTAAGGTGCTTAAACCTTGACAGTGAAGAGAGGGTATCTGGAAGGTTCCAAGCATCTGTTTGATAAACGGGTATCTTGCTGAGAGCATGATACCTTTGCAATATATGCCCCACACGGGCATCTAGATCTTGCGATTTCCACGTTTGATTGCCTACTGGAATGCGATCCTGGCATCGTGTGTCAACAATGGACGATGTGAGGTCGCGATCGAAAGCTTCGATCTCCCGGATCGTGTTCCGGTCGAGCATCTCGATGAACTTTAGCAGAGCAAGCAGCACTATGCGTGATCAATCTCCTCTCACGATCTGGGCACTTGGGCCAGGTTAAAGATCTCATCACAAACATGCCATTTGTTCCAGACGCAGATCCTTGAATCCACGCCACGAAACAAGTCGTGAGTTTGGAGCCTGGAGATTCGTCGCCTTAACATGCTCCTGGCGAACTTGACCACGAAAACCAGGAGCTTCTCTGAGATCTCGGAGGAGCCCGAGTGGATTCTTTTCTTGTCTTTCGTTATTATCCAGATGAATGGATCGAACTGAGCTGAAACGAGCTCGATCCACTTATGAAAAATCGAAGTGTGCTGACTGTGTCTCTTTGTGTTGATGATGTTGGGAGGAAAAATTCGGCCAAACAAACAAAGTTTTCTTCTTCTGAACAATGGTGGGACTGTTTTTTCTCTTCTCCTGCAAAAGAGTAATCTCGAGAGAAAAATAGCGAAGCTCTCGAGCTTACCCAGTGGCTGATCTCTTGACGGCCTTGACGCCGAATGGCATTTGAAACGGCGCCTGGCGCATCACTCCGAGGTAGTTGTCTTCCTCGAGCTGGTAGCACCACTTCTTGCGGAGAACTTTGTCCTCCTCGATCTCGTCCGAGTACTTCTCATTCTCCTGCGCGTGCACGATTGCCAGGTTGCTGTAGTTTTCGGCCGACTTCGTGATAAACGAGGTCTCCTCCTCGGTGAGGTTCCTCAGGAACCTGGCCGGGTTTCCAGCCCAGATCTGCGAGGACGAGTAGAATCAATCAAAACAAAGTTTTGTTTCTTCTTTTCTGTGACTTACCTCTCCAGAAGGAATGCGGGTGTTTTGCGTGACCAATGAACCAGCTCCCACCATCGCGCCCTTCTCAACGTAAACTCCATCGAGCAAAGTCGCGCCCATTCCCACAAAGGACTCGTCATCGACAGTGCAGGCATGAAGCACCGCATTGTGGCCTAGAAACAAACTTCTCACAAACTTTGGCGATGAAAGGAAAAAAAAAAAAGAAGAATAGACGTGCTCACCGATTGTCACTGCGTCGCCTATAATCGTTGGAGCAACTTTGCCACTCATGCCCGTTCTTGCTACGTGAACGAGAGTATTATCCTGGATATTTGTTCCATAGCCGACTCTTATCTCATTCACATCACCTAAGTAGCAAAGAACTTAAACACAGGGAAGAACACACCAAAAAAAATCTCTTTTAGTACCTCTTAGAACGCAGCCATACCAGATGGACGAGCCTCCGGCAACGCTAACATCCCCAATAAGCGTGGCACTGGGAGCTATAAATACATTCTCCATCACTTCCGGCTTCTTGTCGTAGAGATTCATGAGCGTCCGATGCCTATTCACTGCGGCGCGCAACGATCAGTCCCTAGAAATCACCGCGCAGCTAGAACCCTAGCGCGAGAGCCGCAAATATTCCTGGGAATCGAGTCGAGACTTACATTGCTCCCGGAAGATGTAGTTGCCTTGAATCCTGCATCCCAGCCGGTCCAGCGCCTGGCCAGTCTCGCGAATCCAGAAGCCGATCTGGTAGAGCGCCCTCCCCGCCATCGCTCGCCCGCTCCACAGGCTCTGGAAAACCCCTTGAACCTAGACATTCCCGAGAATATGCCAAATCGAGAATGATTTCGTGCACATTCTGTCAGTCCACAAACGGTGTGCCGTTTGTGGCATATTCTGTTACTCGTAACAGGAATCGAACGCGCGTCATTTACAAAACCGTTTGAGCGGTGACGTGGCCCCCTGGTTATAAGCCTGGTTAAAGATCTCTCTCTTTGTTTTCTCGCTCGAGTGCTCTTTTGCGTGAGCTCTCTAGCTCTCTAGCGGCGATATTTCCAGGGTTTGCTCGGCCGCCGCGATCGATCGATCTAGCGGAGGGGAGTGAGCGGCGGCGCAATGGCGGCTGGATCCGGATCGCCGACGAGCATTGTGCCCAAGCTCCAGATCTTCATCGGCTACGACCCTAGGGAGCACGACGCGTTCGAGGTATGCCGCCACTCCATCCTCCGCCACGCCACAATGCCGGTGGAGATCACCCCCATCAAGCAATCCCAGCTGCGCGCCAGCGGGCTCTACACGCGGACCAAGGATCCCACCGAGAGCACCGAGTTTTCCTTCACGCGCTTCCTCACGCCCTTCCTGGCGGGCTTCCACGGCTGGGCGATGTTCGTCGACTGCGATTTCCTCTACACGGCCGACGTCCGCGAGCTGGCCGCCCTCATCGACGATCGCTACGCGGTGATGTGCGTCCAGCACGACTACACCCCCAAATCGGCCACCAAGATGGATGGCGTCGTCCAGACGAGCTATCCGCGCAAGAACTGGTCGTCCATGGTGCTCTACAATTGCGCGCACCCCAAGAACATGATCCTCACGCCCGCGCTCGTCAGCTCCCAGACCGGGGCATTCCTCCATCGATTCCTCTGGCTCGACGACGCTGACATTGGATCCATCCCCTTCGTGTGGAACTTCCTCGTCGGCCACAACAAGATGGGCGATGGCGCCGGGCTCCCAAAGGCGATCCACTACACGTCCGGGGGGCCGTGGTTTGAGGCGTGGAAGGATTGCGAGTACGCGGAGCTGTGGCTGCGCGAGAGGGAGGATCTCCGGCGGGCCCAAGCGATGATCCACAAGAACGCGGCGTCGATGATCCACCACGCGGACGATTTGCTCAAGCTGGAGATGGATGGGAAGGCGCTGGAGGACCGAGTGGCGGAGGTGAGCGCGTGAGAGAGATTTTCCCCCCAAATCTAGCGATGGGGAACAAGGATTCTTTTCTATGCTCTAGAATAAGCGCTGTTCTTCGTGTAAAATATATTTATACATACACATTCTTTGGGTCTCTAGTGGCTAGGGTTCCTCGCGAAATATTTCGAGGCGATGACGACGATCCGGCGCTTCACCTGCGCGGATCTCTTCCGGATGACGCACATCAACTTCGATCACTTGACGGAGACGGTAAGCTTGTCCCTCCTCGCAGCGCTACCTAGCTTTGCTTCGATTGGAAGAATGGGATCGATTGATTCTGGCCCTTGTGCTTGTTGTTGCCAGTTTAATATGCATTTCTATCTCACTTATCTCTCGCAATGGCCCGACTACTTCCATGTCGCGGAAGCTCCCAATGGACATCTGATGGGATACAGTGAGAACTTTGTTTCTTTTTTTTTTTTCTCGGAGATGTCTCATTATTCTTTGTGGCAGTAATGGGGAAAGTGGAAGGCATCGGTGAATCGTGGCATGGGCATGTAACAGCAGTGACTGTAGCTCCAGAGTACAGGCGGCAGCAATTGGCGATGAAACTCATGAACATTTTGGAGGAAGTCACTGAGAAAACGTGAGTTCTTTCCGTTTTTTTTCTTTTGTTTTTCCTGCTGTTTTGCTTGCATTGTTCATTGACGAATGATCAACCATGGTTCCAGCTACAATGGCTACTTCGTGGATTTGTTCGTGAGAGCATCCAATACTCTCGCCATAAGGATGTACAAGAAGGTAACGAGTTTTCTCTTAAAAACCTCCATTGCTCACCGGAAAATCGTTCCTTTGCAGCTGGGATATGTAATATACAGAAGGGTGATCAAGTACTACTCCGGCGAAGAAGACGCGCTAGGTGCGTTGCTTTTCATTTTTGAAGGAGATGGCGTTCTATATATTTCTTGCGTTTGTCCAGATATGCGGAAGCCTATGCCGAGAGATGTCGAGAGAAAATCCATAATCTCGCCTAAGCAGATGGTCACTCCAGAGGAGCTGGAGTACGACTAGCAGCTTGCATGACCTAATGCAATAGAGTAATAAAAGATGGCGGCCTTTCTGGGGTATCCGAAGCGGAGGGTCTTTATCCATGCAGCGAGCGAGCAGGGGAGCGATGCGCAAATTCTGGCTACGAAGGTGGCGTTCGTGCCGCCGCCTGCCGAGATCAACGACATTTCGGGTTTGTTCAACTGGTTAGAAGCCAGGCACCAGGTGGAAGATGTGCTTACGGTGCGCGGTTGGATGCGGCTTGCGCAGCAAGAGGGGAGTCTGCCGTCCGAGTTCGACTTGCACGCCAGGAGAGCAAAGCAGGAAGTCGTGCCGACAGGAGTTTGTGAGTGGGGCGATAGCTTGGCCCTCAAAATCGCCCCGTCCAGCATCAACAACGAGAACTATATGCTGCTACAAGGTGTAGATCCTACAACAGGTCTCCGGCTGCCCAAGATCCCGGCGTTTTCCAACTATCGCCCTCAGCATGCCAAGCCGCCAATACCCTTGACGCTCGCTCATCCAGTGTTTGCAAGGTTTAAGGATGTTTTCCATGGACCTGGCCAGCAACCGGATCGGAACGATTACAAGTTCTACCTGAAGATGGCAAGTGCGTTTTCACGCTGTTACACAGATGAAGCGGACTACAAGTACGAAGCAGCTGAACTTTGGAAGCAATACACGGGCATCGAATTCATCAACGAGCTTAATACCGGGGGTGGCACTTTGGGGGCGCGGCTTTTCGCTCTGAAAGCTATTCTGGCAGCACTGGAGGCGAAGTTGGGACCTTTCCGCAGCAAAAGTGATCCGGGAGCACAAGCTCCGCAGTACGTGCGCCTGTACTGGATGAGGAAGGGTAACAGGAAACGGTTCTACAACACTTGTTACCCGGCGATTTCCATCGAGCAGCTCGGTACTCTTGTCCGGGTGAGTGCGGTAGCAACTCTGGATCGCTTCTGCTGCATGCCGCTTACGCCTTTCGTCAACTTCCTGCAACTCCAAGGTGACGATGTCCGAGCAGCTGAGCAAGGCGTCCGGTTAATCTTGGCTGTGAAGGTTGCACTGACGGAGCTCGCTGCTTTCTACACCAACTTCGAAAGCGGCCCACCGAGGGACTTGTTCTTCACGAGGAGCACTCCGTATCCGCTCCAGAACTGCGCAGCTGTGCCGAGGCGTTTCGGAGATAAGCTTGTCTACCTAGTGCAGCATGCTGAAAGGCTTGTTGTCGTCAAGTTCGTGCAGCGTCCTTATGGGGAAGACGTTCACAGGGCTTGGGCTGCAAGAGGTTGTGCCCCTGAGCTCTACGGGGTCTCTCTGCTTCAAGGAGGCTGGTGGCAGGTCAAGATGCAATATCTGGGAGAGGGTGACGGGTGGAAAGTCTTACAGGCGTGCCCGGATGCGGATGTGCTGAGGCCCAAGGTGCTTGAGGCTCTTGCCGCTGCGCAGCAGATTCCCGTGACTTCTTCTTCAGCTTCAGGTGAAGTTGGCGTTGGCGGTGGCGTACATGGTGACATGAGGGACGTCAATGTCATGGTGCGCCGCTCGGCAGATGGTACACTGGACGTGAAGTTCATAGACTTCGACTGGGCTCGGGCTGAGGGATCGACGTCGGCTTACTACCCGCCGTTTATGAATCACCTGCAGGTTAACTGGCAAGGTGGGGAGGATGGCAAGCCGATGAAGCAGGAGCATGATACTGCTCTGCTGTCGCTGAAGCAAGCGGCCCAGTCGCTCGACGCTATGGCAAGTCCACCATCGAGTTCGTGGGGACCTTTCTAGCCTCTCGTATGCCTTTCAGAGAATTCCGGTGAAGGAGTTCACTCCACTTGCTACTGCTCTGTTAGACTTTGGAATCCGCAATATCCAGGACAGCCTTTACGCCCTTTTGTTTGTCTAGCTATGGCGGCCATTCACGTCTTCTGGCATGATGGGATGCTCAAGCACGAGCCGCTTCATGGGATCTTTGACTCACTCAGCGGCGCAGGGCGTTTGTTGGCTGTCTTGGATCAGCACCCAGAGAACGCAACCCGGGTCCTTAACATCAAATCCATTCTCGAGAAAGGACCCATCTCTCCTCGGATCGTGTGGCACCAGGGAAGGATGGCAACCATTCAGGAACTTCACCTCTTCCATGACCCAGGTGGGTTTTTCGAGTCTCATCTCATCTCTTGCAACTCTTAGTTTCTCTTATCACAGATTATATCCAGAAGCTGATCGACGCTGACAAAGCTGGTGGCACGACGATCTTTGCTCCTGGAACCTGCTTCAATCCCGGCTCCTGGGAAGCGGCTCTTTTAGCTGCCGGATCCACACTTGACGCTGTGAAGCACGTCCTGGAGGGTAAGTCGAATCTGGCCTACGCACTGGTGAGACCTCCAGGCCATCACGCGCAGCCTTCTCGAGCCGACGGCTACTGCTTCCTCAACAATGCCGGACTCGCCGTCCAGTTTGCTCTCAGCTCCGCTTCTGTAAAAAGAGTAGCAGTGGTGGACATCGACGTGCACTATGGAAACGGAACCGCCGCTGGATTCTACTCGAGAGACGACGTCTTGACGATCTCGCTCCATATGGATCACGGCCCCTGGGACGAGTCTCACTCCGCCGAGTTCGGGCAGCCGGAAGAAGCTGGCACAGGGAAAGGAGTCGGATACAACGTTAACATTCCTCTTCCAAACGGGACCGGCGATAGAGGATACCAGCACGCGATGGAGAAACTTGTGGTTCCAAGGCTGGAGAGCTTCGAGCCGGAGCTGATCGTTGTCACCATGGGCCAGGATTCTAGTGCTGTAAGAAAGCAAGCTTCCTTTGCAGCTAGCTACTAACATTTTCGTTCTTCGCAGTTTGATCCAAATGGAAGGCAGTGCCTGACAATGAAAGGCTACCGTGTCCTGGGAAGGATGATCCGCGAGCAAGCCGAGAAGCATTCGAGTGGCCGGATGGTGCTCGTCCAGGAAGGAGGATACCAGCCATGCTACACGGCCTTTTGCGTCCACGCGACGCTCGAGGGTGTTGCGGGGGTGGACGAGGCGCTGCTGGACGATCCCATTGCCTACTATCCAGAGGACGAGACATACGCCATCCTCAAAGTGGCCGAGCTCGAGAAAAGACTCCATCAACTTGGTTGAAAGATCCAAGAAAAATGGAGGTACATTACCATTTCGTGATCTAGAATGCAGCGCTTCCATAACCCTCGTGATCTTGTGCGCTAGGATTGTCAGCAAAGATTGCAAGAGCCTAGAACACACCGAGAAGAAAAAAAATACAAAGATTCCAAGTCCGCGCGGCGAGAGCTTATTCCACAGGCAAAATGTGGCCAAAGAGATCTTACTCTCTCTCTCTCCCTCACGCCGAGGCCTCCGCCGCCGCTGCCTTGGCTGCCGCCGCCTTGGCTCTAGCTTCTCGGGCCTCCCGGGCTCCGCCGACCTGGTATCCCCCATCTGGGCGATCCTTCTCCTCCTCCCAGATGCCGCGCTTGGGACCTAACACCCACGCCCGGGGCAGGGGCATCTCGTCGATAAACTTCTTGACGAACTGGATGTGCTCGGGGTTGTGGGGATCGTACTCGTAGTCGAGCTTGACGGGCGGCGCGACGCGGTGGGTCTCGCGAGTGTGGTACCTGATGTCGAAGATGCGGTCGGGCTCCGTCTGCGGTATGATGGGCGTCACGTCGGGCGTGGCGGGCGACATGCGGCGGTACTCAGTCGCCTTCTGGTTCGCCTCCACGTACTCGGGGTGCGATGTCGGCCCCGTGAACTCCCACGGCTTCTTGACGACCTTACGGATCATCTTCCATACCGTCTTCCCTATCTCCTGGGCCTTCTCCTTCATCGTCTCTCTCTCTCTCTCTCTCTCTCTCTCTCTCTCTCTCTCGCCCTCTTCTCTCGCCCTAATTATAAATCTTCATAAAATATTTTAATCACAATGCAAAGGTAACGAACAAATAATAAAGAACTACAAAATATATGGTGGTGCAAACCATTAATTTAAGTGTGTCTTACATTTAACAATAATGTAAATACTCTTTTCATGTAAAAGGATATTTTTAAATAAATTAAATATTTAATAAGAATAATTATCATTCAATACACATATGGCCAGGGCTCCAAAGAAGGATGGCATATCATTGCTATATCAATAAACAATGAATATATAATTGCATAAAGGTGCATCTTTTATTTACAGATGTGTGGATATATATTTTTTCAATTGCACACACTATTATAATCTATATAATCACTATAATAGCAATCAAAACATGATTATGTATGCATTATAATATTTGCATTGGCCATGCTATGCATATAGGGGCCATGCAATGTGAACACTTCATCCATGTGTGAAACCATGTCATCCCCTGTTTTATGACAGCAGGATTGCATGCTTCCAACATGCTATACACCACAATCTTTGTCAATCTGTTAATAACCTTATTTACTGTATATTGTTGCTGTAGGATTTTACTCCTCTAGATCATTCTTGGTGTAGAGCTTGAGTGCCAATTGTAATATGTGTGGCATTTGCAATTCTTTCTATTATGAGGTAGAGATTGGTGAAACTCTAGATCAACACCCAACTGCATTTAACTGTTGAAACATTGCAATTATATGCTCAATGCATTAAAAGGCTTAATCACATGCTCTAGTGCAGTAGTGGTGTCATTGAACTGGCATAACTTGTAGTGGATAATAACTAGTGCATGGAGGCTTATGGCCAACATTATTTTAGCAGGCAATGTCTATAATGCTCGGTTTAAGTGCATTTCTAATCCAATTGAATTTCACCATGCATTTTTGCCATTTTTGCCAAACTTAAAAGGCAAAGAAGAAGATGCTTATATAGCAAATAAACTGATGTAGATTAGGAATTCACATATGGCTATGTATGCTAATATATATATATGCCTTGAACAAAAGGTAATATCCAAAAGATTATTTTATAAGTCACATATTGTGTTTAAACAATTCAAGAACACATGTCTTTTAAATTTATAAATCTTACAAGATAATAAACTTTTTTGCCAAGCTGCCCACATTAGGTATACCTCCTTTGGGAAATATACCTCCCCCCAAACATGCAATCACAAATTTCTTGTTATATGACATGGCAACACAAAGTTTAATATTTATCCTTTATTATAAAATTGAATAAAGTTTTGGTTTGCTTAACCAAACCTATGGTAGTGGATATACCTAAGATATGATTGAATATTCTAGGATATTCTACCATCTTATTCATTTAGATTAATCTTGTATTTATAAAACAAATACTTAGTTATTCTTTTTTAAGTACTTATAAACAGTATTTAGAATCTTATCTATTTTTTATTTTTTACACTTGATAAGTTTATTTGATTATCAAGGATGATATGAGTCTAAATAAACTCTTTTGGTCAAATAATGATCAACCCCAAAGTGGTTGATAGTGATGCTAATTTATTTGCACATAACAACATTGAAATAGATTTGACAAAGTTTTCAATGATGATCCATTTTATGTAAAACTTTAATTGATACCTTAGAGTTGCACATTGAATTTTGGAAAAGGTCTTGCTATGGTTTGTTAGTTTAACATTAGCACTTGAAGTAAATTATTGGATGGAAATAATTGAGGTATTGACGTTTTTAGCACTTGTGTTAGTAAAAGTGGCATTATTATGTTGAGTGATGAAGAATTTTCCTTAGAGCTTGATTTTTCATATTATTTTTCTTATTAATGTTTCAATTCCACATTTGATCTTAAAGATGATTGAAAAAGATTGTTAATGCAATATGGATATCTGAAGTTATGGTTTTTGTGATTAAGATTTTGGATATTTATTTTGTATTTATGATGTCAGTTTTAGATATTGAGTATATAGGCATTTTGGTAAACGCTCATGTATTTTATTAGGTCATGAGAACTTGTGTTGAAGTGAACCTATATGAATTTGTAAGTAGGAGGAAGTTGATTGAGTCTTGAAAATTTACATTTCTAAACTAAGAGTGATTCTTTCTTTAAGTTGGAAAATTTTCTACAAATTTTTTTAGACTTTTTCAATGGTTAATCTATTAATCATTTTGCTTGAAAACCATTCTATTTTTGTGAGCCATTGCAAGCTAGTAAAAGGGTTAGAGTTAACTTCAGTTGGATTAAACATTAGTAGATAGTTTGTATGTTGCAGCCTAAAAGGGATGCCAACTTTTGAGGCTAAAATAGCTAAGCTAAATAAAAGGTAGAGTTAGTGTAGAAAAATAGTTGTTGTGCTTTTTTAAAAAGTGACATTTATACCTTTTTTTTGTAGTGTTATGCTTGGTGGCAAGTTGGACTTTGCATTTTATTAAACTCTAAGAGTAGTGAACTCTCACTAATCTTGACTTGGTTTTAGTGGTATTGCACCTTGGTTTGGTTGAGGATGATGATTGTAAGTGACTAAATTTTTCATTCTACTTTAGTTACTTAACCATACTTTTGACCATTTGAAGAAATTTCATTCACAACCTTCATAAGTTCTATTCCTGACTTGAAAACATGCTAGCCCCGTGAATGGCATCTATGCCACTCAACCATTTTACTTGGTCTAAATGCTCCATGTATTTGATCCCATGATATACACCTTAAAAGTACCATTGACAAATCAGCCCATTACACTAAAGCTATATCCATTTACCTTATCTCATTAGTAATCCAAAACCATTTATGCCATAATCTCATCTCTCAAAGACTAAACCATTTATTTATAAGTGGTCATCCCAAAACCACACTTTAGCATCCTTAGGATGTCTGGAGATGTGGGTAACACCCTTTCCCAATATCCTTTTTTCAATCCCTACTAAATCCCTCTCCATCCACTATTGTGCTCGTTAACACCACCACTGGGTCAGAGCCTGAAGGCTTGACCACTAAGTCCCATTGACCTTTGGGACTTCCTCACCACGTGACCATGCCTTTGGTCACTATGTAAAAGGATTGCTCCTCACAGTCCAAGACTTTGGGACAACACTTCAAAACACCATAGCCATACACGAGTCTTATGG